GTCCTCACGTCCCTCCTCTGGTGGACCAACCCTGCCATCAACAAAGGCCATTACTTCAAGGAGCCCCAGAGGCTCACCCTCACTAAAGACGCCAGCCTATCCGGATGGGGCACTCACGTCAACTCGCTCACAGCACAGGGCAGATGGTCGAAGATAGAACAAAGATGCAGCATAAACTGGCTGGAGCTTCACGCCATCCACCTGGCCCTGCGCAGCTTTCTCACTCAGGTACGCAGACGTCATGTCCTCCCCCTTCTACATCCGGATCCCCAATGGCTCCAGTTAGCCATCTGGAGGTTGAGCGGAACCGCCTGAGGAAAGAGAAATTCTCTAGTCAAGTAATTGACACCATTCTAGCCACCAAGTGGCCCTCAACCACGCGGATCTACGATACCACTTGGAATAGCTTCTGCAGGTGGTGTCATAAATCCCAAGTTAACCCTCTCTCCCCCTCTATTGCTCAGGTCCTGGAATTCCTCCAAGAAGGCCTGCGCAAAGGGCTTTCCCCTAACACCCTGAGGTGACAAGTCGCAGCCCTGACAACTGTTATCTCTTGCGACAATTTTGGCTCCCTCTCCCACCACCCTCGCGTTAGGGCTTTCCTCAGGGGAGCCACCAACTTGTGCCCCCCGACTGTCCACAGGTTCCCTACCTGGGACCTCAATAAGGTCCTTACTTCACTCATAAAGCACCCCTTTGAACCTTTGAGGGAGTCCTCCCTTCAATTTTTAACATTCAAGGTGGTGTTCCTGGTGGCCATTTCATCGGCCCGGCGAGTATCGGAAATCGCAGCCTTATCAGTCAGAAAGGACCTCTGCGTTTTTCACGCCGACCAGGTGGTCCTTTGACCCGACCCTACCTTCCTGCCCAAGATCAACTCCACTTTCCACAGGGCGCAGGAACTAGTTCTCCCTAACTTTTGCCCCAGACACTCGCGGGACAGGGAAATTCTTTGGCACACCCTGGATGTGAGATGGGCCCTGCGCATCTACATTAAGCGCACTTAACCCTTTAGGAGGTCGGAATCCCTATTCCTTTCCTTTCAGCCCAAGACATTGGGTCACAAAGTATCCCCTTCAACTATCGGTCGCTGGATCAGGGCAACTATCTCCAGATGCTACCTGTCACAAGCCCTGCCTGCACCCGGTGGAATAACAGAACATTCCACCAGGAGTGTGGCTACTTCGGCAGCCTGGGCCACCCAGGCTCCAATCACTGACATATGCCGGGCCGCCACGTGGGCTTCCCCGTCTCCCTTCATTAGGCATTACAAGATAGACGTATATGCCGCAGCGGAGGCCTCGTTTGGCAGAAGAGTCCTACGAAGGGTCATCGAAGACCCGGAGGGGATTCCGAACCAGACGGAGCCCCTCCCGTAGGACCGCCAAGCTTTGGTATGTCCCACTCTGGATGCTCCGAGCGGCTCGAGGGAGAATGGGCGTTGGTTCTTACCTGATACGCCCCTTCTCGGCGAGCCGCGAGGAGCATCCAGCCCCACCCTAATTTCTCCGTCTAGTGGGGAATCTTGTTTCGGCCAAGGATCCACTAGTGGTTAGGATGAGTACATAGATTTTTCTTCTTGTCCTCGCAAAACTGGGGAACGCTGCATGGAGTCACGTGGAGGAGGAGGAGCGTTCCTCAATTCAAGCTGAGCATGTGAGAGAGGAGTCTGAAGCACCTCCCACTCTGGATGCTCCTTGCGGCTCGCCGAGAAGGGGCGTATCAGGTAAGAACCAATGCCCATTCTCTTCGCTGACGATGTAAAGCTATTCAACGCCACAGACAATACTGCTACTCTTCAAAAAGACCTTGACTATGTATCAGAATGGTCAAACAAATGGCAACTTAAATCTCAACAAATAAATGCTCTGTCCTACATATTGGCAAAAATAAATAAATCAGAAAATAAAATATTGGCTGAATAGTCAAGACCTTGTTGACAATCCAAACTCTGTCAAGGATCTTGGAGTACTCATCTCTAATTATCTAAGTGCTAGAGCCCACTGTAACTACATAGCCAAAAAGGCGTTAAGAGTTGTTAACCTAATCTTACGTAGCTTTTTCTCTGGTAATATTACACTAATAACTAGACCATACAAAACATTTGCTAGACCAATACTCGAATACAGCTCATCAGTCTGGAACCCACATTGCGTATCTGATATTAACACAGTTGAGAAAGTCCAGAAATATTTCACAAGAAGAGTTCTCCACTCCTCTACTCGTTGCAGAATACCTTATGCCACCAGACTCAAAATTCGAGACCTAGAAAACCTAGAACAGCGCCACCTTTGGTCCGATCTAAGTATAGTATATAAAATCATACATTGCAATGTCCTACCTGTCAATGAATACTTCAGCTTCAACCATAACAACACAAGAGCAAACAATAGATACAAACTCAAGGTTAATCGGACCAAACTTGATTGCAGGAAATACGACTTCAGCAACAGAGTGTTCAATGTCTGGAATACTCTACCTGACTCTGTGGTTTCTTCCCCAAACCCCAAAAACTTTAACCTTAGACTGTCTACTATTGACCTCAGCCCTTTCCTAAGAGGTCTGTAGGGGACGTGCATAAGCACACCAATGTGCCTACTGTCCGTGTCCTATTGTTTCTTTTATTTTTATTTTTTCTTATATGTATCCATCTATTCATAACTATGTTTTTACTTACTTTTCAAGCCAAATAAATGCTTGGGATGAACAATTTGGTACTGATGGTGAATATACTATTCAAAGTATTTTAAGGTGAATAGTTAACTTTTTACCCAACTTTCCACTTTAAGAGTTGAATATTGGCTTTCTGTTGATGATGAGAAAATTGCTTTGAGAAATCTCCAGCAGCTGGAGAAAAGAAATGTATGTTTCCCATTTGGATTTCCTGAATGTATCCTACTGATATTATAGCAAATAAGTAGAATCTCTATGCAGCTCTCATAAGATTCATATTGGAAAACTTTCAGAAAATCTGTAAGGGAGCAAAACTTTTTTATAGACCTATAATGTAAATCAGATTTGTCGAGTCAACAATTGTCTGCCAAATGCTTCTTTCATCGCTAGCTAGGCTATATAGGTCTGGTGGAAGATTGAGTCTGGTACAAATAGAAGGTTACTAAATTGGAATGAGATTATATAAATTGTAGTCAGAATATTGTGAGATACTAAAATTTAATCTTGTCAGTGTGTATCCATAAAATCTCCTTTGTGTTGCCTTTGAGTCCTGGTTACTTCACTGGTGTAACCACATAGTTTTATCGGCAACAACATTGAACTTATTTGCTGCCACATTCTTACGAACTATTTCTTCAACTCCCCCACTCATTCTGTAGCCTTGGGATTTTCTGTTGGTCTCCCATTCGAGAACTAATTAGATCCAACTTCTATTAAATTTTTTCACAATCAGTTAAGCATTGCACTGCCAACTAAAAGATCACTGGTGGGTGAATTGGTGCAAGTAAAAATGAAAAAAAAAATGTGATTGGAATTCAGAACTGCTCGTCCAAGTCTTCTTCTTTTAGCTGACTTCAGTTTTATTACTGAAATATAAGTTAGAGAGAAAATTGTCTGGCTAGGAATATAGGTGTGGTCAATTTTTTTGTCCTATGCTCTTCTTTTTTCTGAATTACTTTTCTACTTCCTGATTTGTCTGACTATCTTAGCATGCAATTCCATCGTACAGTATCTTCTGATTTCTATATTTATTTTTATTTATTTATTTGATTTGTCAATTGTTTACAAGATAATAAGTACAAGTGTATACATAGTTGTGAATATATGAAATGGGTACATATAAGAAAAATAAAAGAATAAGAGAAACAATAGGACAGGGACGGTAGGCACGTTGGTGCGCTTATGCACGCCCCCTACAGACCTCTTAGGAAAGGGGTGAGGTCAATAGTAGACAGTCTAAGGTTAAAGTTTTTGGGGTTTGGGGAAGAGACTACAGAGTCGGGTAGAGTATTCCAGACATTGACCACTCTATTGCTGAAGTCGTATTTCCTGCAATCAAGTTTGGTGCGGTTTACTTTATGGTTCTAATGTGGTCAAAAAGAATTGGTGCTTAATAACGATTTGTCATTTCATATTGTAGAAAGTTAATTACTTTCTGAATTCCAGTGTTGCAGAAAATCAGCAAAATACATATATTTAATTTAATAAACAAATTAATTTGAGTCCTCTAAGGATGGTGTTGAGCAGCAGAGTGATTTTTCTCTTCTGCCGACAAATTGCTTAATGTCGCCATTAAGACTGGCTTTTTGGCAGCGTGCTCCCCAGACTCAAAGAGGGAGTACTAGGATTTTTTACTTTTAAATATTAAGATAATGTTTCCCACAATAAAAATTGATGGGACAAAAGGGAAGATTCCATCAAAAATTAAGAAAACAATGACCAGGGCTTGTAAAAATTAATAAAATGTGGTGTACCTGTGGTAAAAGTCAGATGAAAATGTAAATCAAATTAGATTTCACTACTCAGGAAATCGCCATCAACTTTCCATATGAAGAAAGTGTAAGTGCTTTGCAACAACAACAACAACAAAATAAAGCAGGAAAAACACACAAAAACCATGTTAAAATTCAGCAAAGGGAAATAGATCAGCATGTGACCAGTCGATATTTAAAAATTAGAATGAAGATAAAAGAAAAGGTATAGTTAAAACTTTGAAAACATGTAGTTAAAATTGAAGCATGCTTAAGACTAGCAAGCAGCCAAAAGGAAAAGATGGAGACCCAATTCTCTGGCCTCTCCTACCATGAATTGCATCCATCAAGATCCTCTTCCCATACAGGTCCATGATTATCTGAGAGTCATCTTGGGTCATTCTTAATTGCTTCTGTTTGAATCTGGGGAATCTGCACCAAAGAGTTGGCTTTGGCAGCAAAATCAGCTGTTTGTTGGCAGGAGGTGGGGGGGAAGCCTTGCCGTTCAGCATGTCATATTTGGATGACTCTCCAGAAGTATTTATTTCAACTGACCAATGTCTTATCCTGTTGTAGAGAAACCAAATGAAGATTTCAAGCCTGTGGAATGTATGATAAAGAGTGGGAATGACCAAACTAAAGACTGCTTGAAACCATCAGCAGCAAACGGAGGAGCAGTTTTGAAGGCACATGTTGTGCATTTGGAATGTTTCCTGTTGGGTAGCATCAAGAGGGAGAGGCCATCCATAGCCTCACCAGGTGCAGTGTAAGACATACCAGTCATCTTAGGTAAGAGCTATCATCTTTTGGTGTGCAAAGTTCATTTATTTTATTTTCTGTAGGATTTTGATATAAAATTATGTTTGGACAGGACAAAATAAATGTGACTGACAAGTAGGGGATAATTATTAAGCTAGAGTATGATCCTCCTGGCCTCTGGTAAGGTTAAGTCTTCAAACTGAATTTGAGTAACTATGTCCACTTAGGGTTTTTTGGCAGCAATATGGAAATTGTTCGCTATTACTTTCTTGCAGAAATATTTTTCAATTTTCCAGCTTAGCTTATTGCCTTGGTATTCTCTGGAGGTCTCCTATTCAAGTACTGATGAAGAACCACTCTGCTTATCTTCTGAACGCAATGTAGAGCAAAATTGTGGGAAATTTTCTATTTTCTGTGGGAACCCCCTTCCTCTATGATTGTTTCCACATGAGGTCAAAATGGCTTGTATTCTCATGGTCTTTTGCAGGTTCCTGAAACAGTTTAGAAACAATTAAATTCGGTATAAAATAGATCCATTTAAAAATGTATCAGTAACATGCAGTATGAAATTGGAAATAGGAATAGTTCTCTAGAAGCCTATCAAATTAGAAAGATTTGATGTAGTCTAGGAAAGTTGGCATTTAGAAGAGCTTCTTTAAGCCTAGATCTCCACAGGAAGGATTTTAACACACTTACCCCAGGCTTTTCTGAAACGGATACCTGTTAGAGGTTATTTTTAACTTTCTGCTAACCTTTTACCTGAAAGCAAGCCCCTCTGAGCATAGGTAGAGGCTTAGGTTAACAAAATTATACCATCCACTGTGAATTGCGACCCAGAACTAATCTGGAATGATATACTGTGTAGCAGAATTAGCATATTTAAAATAATTAAAATAAAATAATTGAAATTGGTATTTATGTCTGATGTTAATTGTGCATTCCTACAAAGATGACCATTCAAAAACGCTGGTTATACTATGGTTGTTATATGATTATTTTTACCAAAAATAACCCCTATTGCCTCCCAAACAAACCCAATTGCATATTGTCTATATTTTGCTCAATATTTGTTTTTCTTGCAGCTTTTGACATGAAGAAAGATATAGATGCTTTAATAGCAGAAGAAAGGGCAGAAATCATTGATAAGTATGAGAAGGTATAGGATTTATTTTGTCCATTAATTTGCTAATTCTAATGAACAATTTCAGGGAGCTTGACCATATGTCCCAAGCGGGATCCTCAGTATTTAGCTGCCCATCCAGCTGTTAATAAGAATGTAATTGATAACGCAGTGACAATATGGATCATTCCTTGAAACTGCTTTTATGACAGCTGTTTCTTGTCCATTGAGGCAAGCATGCAATGTTTTATTAGTAGCAGTCTGTTGAAAAAGCCAGTTTGCAAAAAATGATTTGTTTGGGGGCTGTCCATATATGGAGGCATGAAAGTGTAACTTTGAAAGATTTAAATTTAAAAGATCATTCCCAGCTTTATAGTGAAAGGTACTGGTGAAGGATTGCATGTTGCAAATCTGCAGGCATGTGACCAGAAAGCATTTTATGTAGTGCACTCACCCATGATACAGTAATGCCACTGTGCAAAAATAAATTGTATCACATATCATCTGATTACATACAAGTCTATCTATCTATCTATCTATCTATCTATCTATCTATCTATCTATCTATCTATCTATCTATCTATCTATCTAAGGACCAATTTCACATGTATTAAAATCTATCAGAACTGGTATTGATTTTATATATACTGTATAAACATATATACACATATGTACATATACATATCTATACATATAAGTCCATATATATACACATACATTCATACTATTCATATTCATACTGTTCATATTACTATATATAGCTTTTTAAAACAATACCAGTATGACAAAACTTTATACTGTTAGGCTCTTTTACAGGGAGCTTCATTGTGCTACTTTCCTTTTTTTACAGGGAAGGCAAGATGGAACTCAGATTGATCCATGGGAAGATGCTGACTTTGCTCTTTACAAAGTTACAGACAGATTTGGGTTTTTGCAGTAAGTTCTTTTGTGATCCCCTTAATACTTTGCTGAAACAAAGTATGTTTCATTGACATGGTTGTTTTGAGGCTACTCCATGCCTTAGATCGTTCTTCACTTATCATTGCCATGAATGTACTTACATGAATGTACTTATTTATGAGCAAGTCAGTTGTAGCAAATCTTGTATATAAGAGTTTCAGCCATCATATCCTAAAAAAGTTCTGACAAAGCTTGATCTTTCAGAATTAAGCATGCAGACATGTTAAAAATTGCTGGCATAATCAGAATTCCTGAAACCATGAAAAACCCTTTAAGGGCATTCAGAAATGTTCCAGATTTCTCTGGGGATCTTTTTGAAGAGATGTGGGTTTTTGCATTTGGAAATATCTCAATCTTTTCATTTGGTGACCCTTGTTGTTGAAATTATACTGCTATAGAGTATAATCCAGTTTAAACCTCTTGCTGGAAGAACTGTTTGCCTCAGCACAACAGCATGTGTATTATCTCTTTCCCCTTGCTCCACATACCTCATGTATCCCATGATTGAGCCACTAGAACACATATTTTGAGGATTTTGGAGAGGAAGTAAATGTTTGTTGCTTGAGCATACTTCAACATTTTTATCCATTGAAAACAGGAGCTCATAAAAGACATGTTTAACCTTCCTTTTTTAAATATATCATATTCCTGCCTTCCATTTCACCCCCAACAGCAACCCTCTGGCTTGGGTTGGGTTGAGAGAAAAAATGATTGGCCCAAAGTCACCTAGATGGCTTTCATGTCTTAAGGCAGGATTAGAACTCAGAAACTCCTGAGTTCTACATCAGACTAGATCGCTAATGTTTTATATTGTATTATTATAATATGTTATATATTGCTTTTTTCATATGTTACTGATTTAGGTGTTTGTTCTGAATTTAATTAAAGACCCAAGTTAAAGAAAAAATACCAGCTAATATATCAGTTAATCCTCGACCATCTCTTTTGGGCAAAACTTCAGTTCTCTTTCTTGCATTTCCTTATGCATTCTTATATCATACATTAGTTCAATCTGACGTTTTCTTTTACTTTTTTCAGTGAGCATGAGTTACCAATTCACAGTGCTCTGGAAGAAAAGGTAAGTTCTACAAGCTGTAAAATAATTGATGGAAACAACTGGTCTATATGCCTCATGCATTACTGTGGTCTCTCATTTAGCTCTTTTTTTTGCTCTTCAGAGCTATGGTTTCAGAGCCCAATAATATGGCACTCTCTAGTTGATCAACAGTGTACAGTTTTCATTTAAGACAAGGCTCAAGATAATGAATCAATAAAAACTATAAACTAAATAGCTACTTTTTTAGAATAAAGAATAAATGAAATTGAATAATTCTTTAGATGTCCATTATAAAACTACTGTTGTAAAAACCATGAGTCCATACTCTATTAATCTGGATATTATATTTCCATCTTTCTTTTCTTCCTAAATTCTCCTTCATTTTTAAAACTCTTTTATAGCAAAAAGCTCAGGAGATTGAAAGAGTGGATAAATGGCTGAAGATGTTAAGAAAGTGGGGAAAATACAGAAACGGTGAAAAGGTAAAACACTGACACATTTTAATAATATTACATTATTTTTGCTTGTCCCTTTATTTCAAGAAATAATGAGAGTTCTTGTTGAACAACTCCTAGCACTACTAATGAAAAGGGTGGTGCAGCTTTCATTTACTCTCTGTGATCTTGAAGAAATACATGGGAAAACAGAATGAAAAGTAAGATTTATTTATACCAAAATCTTATGAGAGAGATAAGCAGGTGAAAAATAGAAATCTCAGCTAAAAGAAATCCATATTGAAGGATCAGAACAGGAGGTTTTAGTTAAAATGTGAACTGTATTTAAGATGTCTCTTTCAAGAAATTTAGGACTCTGAAATGAATTAGAATAAAATAAGAATAAGCCAAGCTTATTGTAATGATACAGAAGGAATATATGTAATTTAAGATATTGCATATTGATAATTATTACCAAGTTGTAATGGTCTGTTTTGCCTGAATCAACTGAACGTTCAAATGTGATGGTACAGGTGAAGAAGTGGGAAAGACAATCATTACAAGAAAAGCAATTGTTCTACTAAACGAAAGTAAATATCAGAGAGGTTACTTTCTTTTTTTTGTATTTTTTGTATTTCTTTTTCTTCGATTTTTTTTAGTTATTTCTTTTTTTTAAATATCTTTTTCTTTTTTTTATTAATTCTTATTATATTTTGCTTGGAAAAGGAGGGGGAAAGTGCAAGCAAAGAAACTTTGTAGCACTGCCAACTAGAGGCTTGGAAATATTCTATTTCTCCTGTGACCAGACAAAGCTGAGAAAGAAAGAACTGAGACTTTTTTTCAAGGACATTGCTATTTGATAAGATAGAGGGAAGAGCATGGGAGAGTATTATTGCAGGTGCTCTTCTGGGTTTCTATCAACAGCTGGAGTCTGGTGTTGAAACTTAGGGGAAAAAAAAGGTGATAAGTTTTTGGAGAAGAGAGTTATAATAAGAGCCTTGGATAATTAAACAAAGTGCAGTGTGCTCTTTTTACTTTTTCTAAGTTGTGCTATCCTTCCTCACCAGCTTTATTTTATTTCATTTTATCTTTTTTTTTTTTTTTTTGCAATAGCTATTTGGATCTTTGGCTTTGTTGGAGCTTGTCTTTGTTTTTCTTTTTTTTCTTTGGAAGTCCAATCTCCACGCTTGCTTTTTATTTTAAAGGAAAAGCTTTAGTATTAATGTTTCCTTTTTTTTTAAGGGAATAGCCTTTTTTTCTCCTTTCCTGGTATTTTTGTTTTTTCATCTACCTTTCTGGTTTATTTTTATGCACTCTTTTCTATTTGAGACCTCTCAATTGGATTAAGGTGTTGAAGAACCTGAAAATTTTTTCCTTTTTTTTTTTCCAAGCCTTTTTCTTCATCTAACTACTGATTGGATTAAGGTATACAAGAACCTGAAGAAATTTTGTCCTCCCTTTTTTTTTTCTTTTTTTAATCATTACTATTTGGCTTCTTTTTTCTACTATTTTTATTTCGAACTACAATTGGTTATTTCACAATTGGATTAAGGTTTAGAAGAATCTGAAGATTTTGAATTGCTTAAAATGAGTATGAAACTTACAGCTCCTGGTTCTTCAACTTCTACTTCTTCCTCTCCACCATCTGGAGGACAACGTTCAATACAGACAATGTTAAAGCAAGAAAAAGAACAAGAAAAAGTGACTCTGCAGATGATTATGCAAGGAATTCAAAATATTCAAGCAAGATCAGAGAATATTGAAAAGAGAATAGAGAACATAGAACAGAGAACATTGAACAAAGAACAGGGAAAACCGATGAAAAAGTGGAGAACATCCAACAAATGATGTTGAAGTATGATGAGAGATTCCAAAAAATTGAAGAAGATAAACAAAGAGACAAGAAGATTGGAGATATTGATAATAGATTAACGGTGGTTGAACAAGATAAAAGTGGTATGTTGAGATGGGAGATGGATAGATCAGAATTCTATCTTAGATTCCAAAATGTAGAGGAAGAAAAAGGACAAAACTTAGCTGAGATAATGATAGAAATACTGGCTGAAGCTTTGGAAATAACTCGAGAAGATGATAGATGGAATAGATGAGGTTTATCGAGTCTTCACAAGATATGCAATGAGAAATAGCTTACCAAGAGAAGTTCACATCAGATTTACAAAGAAAGCCATTAAAGCGCAAATATTGCAAGTGGCAAGAGAGAAAACATTGAAATATAAAGACAAGGAGATTGTGGTCAATACAGACAATGTTACGGCAGGAAAAAGAACAGGAAAAAGTGACCCTGCAGATGATTATGCAAGGAATTCAAAATATTCAAACAAGAACAGAGAATATTGAAAAGAGAACAGAGAACATCGAACAAAGATCAGGGAAAACTGACGAAAAGGTGGAGAACATTCAACAAAAGATGATGAAATATGATGAGAGATTCCAAAAAATTGAAGAAGAAGATAAACAAAGCGACAAGAAGATTGGAGATATTGATAGCAGATTAACTGTGGTTGAACAAGATAAAAGTGGTATGTCGAGATGGGAGATGGACAGGTCAGAATTTTATTGCAGATTCCAAAACATAGAGGAAGAAAAGGGACAAAACCTAGCTGAGATAATGATAGAAATATTGGCTGAAGCTTTGGAAATAACTGAAGAGAAGATGATGGATGGAATAGATGAGGTTTATCGAGTCTTCACAAGATATGCAATGAGAAATAGCTTACCAAGAGAAGTTCACATCAGATTTACAAAGAAAGCCATTAAAGCGCAAATATTGCAAGTGGCAAGAGAGAAAACATTGAAATATAAAGACAAGGAGATTGTGGTCTTGAAACAAATACCCAGAAGAGTGAGAGAGATGAGAAGAGAATACCGATTCCTGACTAAAATGCTACTTTAAAAAGAGGTGAATTATAGATGGCTGATTCCAGAAGTTTAATGTTCACATGGCAAGAACAGAGACATAGAATTGACTCAATTGAGAAAGCGGAATTATTTTATACAGAATTTTTTGGAGGGAAAGAGGAAGAGGCAGAAAAAGAAATCTCACTAATTGAATTCCAAGAGGACTGCCAAATGGCGATTCAAAAAGAAGAAGGTGCAGTAGGTGGAAAGGTGGAAGCCAAAGAACAACGTGAACCAAGATCTACGAGAGCTGCTAAACCTAACTACAAAATATAACCATGGAAGAGAAAAAACTGATTACAGTTAATATAAATGGACTTAACTCAGCCGTTAAAAGAAGGAAAACCTTTCATAAATTAGAGAAATTAAAATTTGATATAATTTGTCTACAAGAAGTACATATTAAAAAACAATATGAACAATTGTTGATACAGCCAAAACTAGGGAAAATATTTACTTCCTTGACACATTGTAAGAAAAGAGGAGTGGTTTTATATATTAAAGAGACCATCCCAGCAAAATTGATTTATACCGATGATGACAGAAGAATATTAATGGTGGAAATAATGGACAATAATACGAAAACACTCCTGATTGCAATATATGCCCCGAATGACAAACAAGAAGAATTCTACAAAAAATTACATATGAAAATAATTGAACTGGACTATGCTAATATAGTTATGATGGGAGATTTTAATGGAATTGTAGACAATAAATTGGACTATACAGCACAGAAAACAATAAAGCAAAACAGAAAGACTCTCCCTAAATCTTTTTTTTAAATGGTAGATGAAATAAACTTAAAAGATACATGGAGAGAAAGAAATGCTAAAACTAAACAATACACCTTCTATTCAAATAGACACTTATCGTGGTCCAGAATAGATATGATATGGATGTCAACAGAATTAATAACTAATATTCAAGAAATAAATATTGAAACAAATACTTGGGCAGATCACAATCCAATGACAATTAAATGGAAAGGACAAAAAAGAAGATCTAGATGGACGTTAAATAATACTATTTTAAAGGAAAAAGAGTTCACACAGTGGATGGTGAAAGAATTGGCTTTTTTCTTTAGAGAAAACAAAAAAGAAGATACATCAATTCAGAATGTATGGGATACAATGAAGGCATATATTAGAGGCTTGATAATAGACTATACAAGGAAAAGAAATACTATGAAAAGATTAGCCTCTAAGGCCTTAGAGGATGAGTATAAAAGACTTGAAAAAGAGCTACAGAAAATGCCACAGAAAAAGGGCATCAAGCTAAAAATGGATATAGTTAAACATAAAATGGGTCAAATAGAAAAAGAAGAATTAGCACAGAAAATTAGAGGTGCTAAACAGAACTACTTTGAAGACGCAAACAAACCAGGTAGATGGTTAGCATACAAATTGAGAAAGGAGAAAGAATCAAGGAAAATATTGCAATTAACAGATGACCAAGGCCAAGTTTGCTATGGTAGTAAAGAGAAGAAGGAAATCATTCGAGACTTCTGTGGGAAACTATATATTCAAGAGAATATTGATGAGGAAAGAGTTAAACAGTACTTACAAAATGCTAATTTACCTCAGATACCTAAAGAGATTGAAACAATGTTAGAAAGCAATATAACGATGATGGAGTTAACTGAAGCACTCAAGAAGCAAAATAAAGGAAAGGCACCAGGCCCAGATGGACTTCCAGCAGAATTTTACAAAACATTACAAGAATCGTTGAATCTTCCATTGCTAGAAGTTATGAATGAAGTTATGTTAAAGAAGAGGATACCTAAATCATGGTCAGAAGCCTATATTACACTTATTCCAAAAGAGGAGGCCGATCCATTACAAATTAAGAACTATAGACCTATTTCTCTACTAAATGCAGATTATAAAATCTTTCCTTCAATATTGGCAGAAAGACTTAAAAAATATCTAAATAATTTTATTCATCCTGATCAAAATGGATTTCTGCCAAAGAGACAAATTAAAGATAATATGAGAGTAATCTTGGACACCTTGGAATACTACGAGGCACATCCTGAAAATTCCAGTCTGGCTATCGACTATTGAAGCATTTTCTTATCCTATAGTATACAAAAAGGAACAAACAGTTAGATATGGTGAAATATTGAATGAAAAGGGTGAACTCAAATCTATACAAAAACTAGAGGAACAAGGTATAAAGATGAATTGGTTTTCATATGCGCAAATACATTCAGGGTATGATAAAGATTCTAAAATGGAAGGTTTCTATGATAAATTGACTGATTTAGGTAAGATTTTGACAGGTACTGATGAAAAGGTGATTAAAAAATTGAATGGATATTTATTAGAAATTAAATTAGAAGAAGAACAAGTTAAAGAAACTATGATTGCTTGGGGAAATTTTTTTGGATATGGGATTGATTTAGAGAAATGGCAAAAATTGTGGTCTCAAAATTATAAAATGACAATGTCAACAGCATATAAAGAAAATTTGTATAAGATGTTTTGCAGGTGGCATTTCCCCCCGACAAGAATAGCAAGAATGTTCAAGAATAAATCCGAAAAATGTTGGAAATGTCATCAGACACCTGGCTCATATTACCATATGTGTTGGACTTGTGCGGATGCTAAAAAATACTGGACTAAAATCCACATGTGGTTGGAAAAAATGACAAAAAAACATATAGACTTGAAACCAGAGATATTTTTATTGGGAATTTTACCTGAAATATATAGTAGAGACTTGAAATATCTGATTGTAAATATATTAACAGCGGCTAGGATTGTATTTGCTAAAAACTGGAAAAATGAGAAAATACCATCACAGGAGGAAATCATTAAGAAAATATTGGAATGTGCTGAAATGAGTAGATTGACATTTGAAATTAGAGAACAAGAGGATAAACAATTTTATAAAATTTGGGATCTTTTCTATCAATGGTTAGACAATAAAATACAGTAATGAAATATGTAGACTTTTAGAAAATAATAAATATATAAAGATGTACTTCTTTCTTATTATATCTACAAAATGATTTTAGGATAGATTTGGGATGATAATATGAACTCTTATAAAACAAACTAAGTAAATTATGATTATCTTGTAAAACATGAATGAATAAAAGAGGTTACTATCTGTATAATAGAGAAGTAACAGCTTTTTTGGCTTGGGGGAACATTAGAAAAGTTCATTATACTTCACTTACTGTATTTGAGTTGCAGTATAGATTTTGTACTTGTTTCTTAAGGAAGCCTAAGATGCTTCCGTTTTTTCTTTCCTTTTTGTGGTCATAGTTTCTTATATTGTATTCCATAAATTCTGTATTTACTTCATACTTTAAATTTTAATAGTATGAACATTGTATAATAATTGTGTTCATACACACACACACACACACACACACACACACACACACACACGGTATGTTTGGTCTCCTACCTGACCATCCTAAGCTTGAAGTGGAAATCTAATTAAAAGAGTCCACATAAAAAGAGAGAGATATATGCATTGTATAGTACTCTCTCTTAGTTTCTCTCCCTCCCTCCGCTTCTTTCTCCTTCTGTCTCTGTCTCTCTCATTCCGTTTATATTCCACCAATTAATTTTGTGCTGTAATTTAATTCATTTGTTGTAAATGTCCATCCAAGAAAACATCCTAGTATGCAGAAAGAAGTGATTGAGTTATTTTTTTTCTGAACTTGTTCCAATTTATTAAATTTATCCTTGGAAAGTTGACAATTTGATCAATGAGTTTATGAGCTTATTCACTGCTCTTTGGATATATTTTGCCTGTTCCATTCCTTGCTCAGGCCAACTTCTACATTCTTCTACATTCATCATTCAATATATCAAAGTCAGATAATCACATCTGTAGAAAATTTGATTCCTCATTTTTTCTAGCTGGGCAAACAAGATAAGGAATTTTAGCTTTAAATTCTATATTACATTCAGTTATCCCCCCCCCCCTCCGCTGTCCCATTTCACTGAAATGTTGGTGAATAACTCTAAAGCTAATCCAGCTTTTCAAATTTAGAATAACACTTTGTATATTGTTTTTTAATTTTGTATATTATTTTTGTATATTGTTTTTTAATTTCCTAGTGGGAGTTGGACTCCCCCTTTTTTACAGCATTTTCTTTAAGTGCCAGAGACATTGCAGATGAGGTGCAGATGAGCTTTAGATATCTTGATAACTGAATCAGAAAATAAAATGAAAATAAAACGATCTTTAAAATTATATTACTGTATAAAACAAGAAAAATATAAAATACATACACTGTATATATTTTGAAAAAGAAAAAATAGAGCAATGAAAACAAACAATGGCAATATATGATTACACACAAACACAGAGACACACACACACAGAGACACACACACACACACACAAAGGTCTTATATTTTTTTGCCACCAAAGAAGGCACCAGGTCTTATTTTTGGGAGATGTCTTCTACTGACTCACCTCATGGTGGTGGCATTAACAGCCCCGCCCCGCAGGAACCCACTGCAGGACCACTTCTTCTTTGTGTCATCCCCAGCCAGTTTCGCTGTCAGGAAAGGTCTCTGCAACCTATCAGAATTGACCAATACAAAGTAAAGTATCCATTTCAATAACTGTGCAGGGGTGAATCAGTCCATTCCAGACTGCATATGTTTGCATTTACTCCCTCACAAAATAAAATTTAAAAATTATCAGATTTAAAAGCTTATTTTAAGGATGTAGTTTAATATGCAGATAGGTTTAATGATTTAATATGTTGATCAGTTTGGTTTATATTTCAATTCATAAAGAGAAAATGCTTTAATTATCCCAAGTATAAAATACTGTTTAGGACCGATAAATGATGAAACAACCTTGAATTCTATACATTAATACATTAAAAAGAAGTGAAGTTAGGATCTTAACCATTGGTTTAAATAACAAATTTCTGTTTGAAAGTGAATGAAATAATTCTTTATGTTCAGTCTTGGGACTGAGGGAGTCAGTGATGCATCAGCAGGTGCTTTCATATTGTACTAACTACTGTTACCAATGACTCATCAGGATGTACTTTTGTGACAAACTCTATCCAAATTACATTAATTAAATGTAAATAAATATACACATTGCCTGAAACTCCCATCTTTTGGACAGGATTTCTACCCAAACTTTGAGTCATCTGATAAACTACTCAGTATTTGAAATGAAAATGTCTATTAAACAGTGCTTCAAATGTTAAGACACAGGTTTTTTTTTCTATGCATAATATGTTAATCACATTGGATTGCATCTGCCAAAGGAAATTCAGAAAAAAATAGGTTTTGTTAGCTCCTGATAATTGGACCATGATCATGCTTTTTTTTTTTTGTATTTATAGATGTTCCGCAGAGTTTATAAAGGGATTCCCCTCCAAGTACGAGGTCAAGTCTGGTCACTCTTACTGGATATTGAAAAGATTAAGATGGAGAATGAAGGAAAGTATGAGGTAAAGTATCTTATAATCCATGATAGCAGTATAAGTACACCAAGTAAATAACCAGCCTCATGGTTACCTACACATATGATAAAACAGTATTATTTTTTCCCTGCACCCAAAGATTAGGAAAAAGTGTTTTTAGCCATAAACTTCCTCCCAAACTATTTGTAATTATGTTGTTGCCTCATGGAAAAACTTACTCACACCCTTCAACATTTGAGTCTTGTGTTCTACATCCCCATTCCTGTTCACATGGGAGTGTGATGGAATGTGTGGTTAGGACATTGAGTTGGAGATTAGCAAGCCTGTGTTCAAGACCCCAAATGCGAGTGCTGCTGCATGACAGGATGAGCTCCCATCATTTGTTCCAGCTGCTTGATGGGAATATGCCCCCCCCCCCCACACACACAAGGTGTTTCCTGGGCAGCAGTGATGTCACCAGCTAATCCTTTTAACCCAGAAGTGCCTTACCTCCTATGTGAACAGGACAGGTATTCTGTTCACATAACATCAACATGTTTCTTGAAGAATAGCTCAGTCAACTCCCTTGGCAGCTATTAACAAATTTAGGACTTTCTAAAACTACATAACTTCACTCCAAAGGCTTTATGTGGAATGACATAGAGCCTTAGAAACGAGTTCACAATTAGCAAAAATTAAAATCATGAAAAGGCTGTTAAATTTCTCAAATACCCAACCTGGGGAAGACTGCTCTCCTAAATTGGTGGAATCCAGAATTTCAAGTTTCTAGTTTGTAAATGTTGTAAAGGATGAAAGTGGATCTCTGTGCCCAATAAGCAAAATTATCCAAATTAAGAAAGTGGTCAGAGATGAATTCCTGGACTAAGAAGACATTGGACTATAACCATCCAAACCTACAAGTCGCCTTCCACCCCAGAAGTAAGATTTAATTTTCCACCCCAGAAGTAAGATTTTTATTTCTACAAAGAAATAAAGAAATTTCTACAAAGAAGGAAGCAGCCAGGGACTTTTATGCATTCATTTCAGTAATCCATATGCTGCTGATGCTGGAGATTATGTCTCTTAAAACTATGGTCAAAGGATGGGGAGAAAAGGGAAATGTTGCAGCTACATTCTACTTGATAAATGAATTCTTCTATTAAGCTCTTAACCCAAATATCTTCAGACCCACCCACTCCCACATATAGATAAGTTTGGGTAAGTAATTTAACATGTTGAAAAGTTTTGCAATGCAGAATCATGCTGAAACAGAGTGCCATAGCCATAGTTCAAATAGTCCAAGGACAAATCAGCCAGGTTCTTGCTGGGTCAAGTTGGGCCAGGCAGCAAATCCTCTGGGAGAGGAAATTCTATGATAGTGTGATAAGTGTGCCCCAGCAGTCTGATGCTTGCACTTTACGGTGTTGTTGGTTGTCAGCAATAATTAGAATATTGCCATTCAGTGATGTAGCAGGTAATCCTTTCTCTGGTATTCATAGATGAGGACGTAGTCAGTAGGCTTCAGGTTATGGCATCTGCCAATATGGAAGGCTGGAATGACACTTTCACTTCTGTAGAAATAGATTGAAGTCACTTAATGAGCACTTATCAGACAAGTGAAATCTCCCTTTTTAGTTAATTAGGCAATTTCCACCTTACAATGGCCAGCTTAACACCATTTCAAAGGGGCAGAAGCCATATTTCCTGCTAGAAATGGTTCTTATTCCCATTAGAGCATGTGTGAAAACCTTTGGCCATTAAAGATAATTGACAGCAGTAACTTTAGTCAATTGCATATCTCAGTTCTGCCACTCTTCACAAATGTAATTCTGTGGCTGAAAAGGGTTGTAGAATTACAACTTGATACCTAGTGTTTTACAAATAGTCTTGTTAACCTGACTGCAGGAACCTCCATGCCACAATCTAAGTGTTCTGACCCAGCTCCCCAAACATGACAAACCCTCTGATGTGAACTCAAAAGATTCCTTTATTAGGAATACCGGCAGCCCCAGCAAAAAAAAAAATTCTCGCAAACTAAGAAGTCCATCCGGCCAGAAGTTATCTGCCAGACCTATTCATCTCCGCCCTCTGCCTTTTATCCCCAGAGCTACGGTGGAGCCTCTCTAGCAGTGGTGGCTCTTCCTTCCCCAGGATCGGCCTATGGCTTTCCACACCTCTCCTATTCCCTGCCTTCTGCACAGTCTCAGATCAGGCACTGGACCCAGCTGTTCCTCCTCTTCTTCATCAGCTACACCTCCAATCTTTTAAAATTTGAGTTTAAAAGTCAAAATCAGCTGTTTGAATTGTGTTCAGAAAACAATTGATGCCTTTTTAACACAAGTAGTATAATAGGATTTGCCTGGCTAATGAATTGGGGGCTGAAGATTCTTAATCAAAGACAGCCTCATGTAACTGGCATTTTATTAGTCCATTTTGGACACTGCATTCCCCTGGACTGGGTCAGAGCTGGCATGCCAGTTGAAGGGGTAAAAAGAAATGATCGTTCGGTGGAGTGGCAATTTAATCATATTATGCAACCCTATATTATTTTTAATATTTATATTGCTATTTATATTGCTAAGGTAATTCTCACGCCCTTAATATTCATGCTAAACAGATTTTGAAGGATAACACACCGACATTTTAAAATTAAATAAATGGCTTGATTCTTTGTAAAACGTAGCCTATTCAGCATGGTGTAACAAGTTAAAGGAAGTGGGATAGATAAAACCAGATATTGACACAGATTAAGAATCTGTTTCTCTATAATTATCTCGACCATTGCAACCTCCTTACAGGATGTTACTATTTGGCCATGTCTCATAGCAAACGATCAGAATAAATAGAAGTCACAAGCTGTTGAATTAAGCTCCTGAGGGATCTGCTAGCTAAAGGACTTATAATATAATAGACCGTAGATGAACATAAATTCTGAGAATCAGCTATTCATAATCCTTCCTATCCTTTTTGCCACTTAATATTTATACAGAATAAAGTTGGAGTTAGAGAAAAGCTTTTTGTTTAAGGGGGGGCATAGGCTTTCTTTGAAATCAGTGGGCCTTTCTGCGTTTTATTGTTCATTTCTTTTCTCTTGGCAATACTTTTTGGGAACTCAAGTACTTCCTTCATTACAGGTGGTCTTCGACTTTACGACCACAAGTGAGCTCAAAATTTCCATTGCTAAGTGAGGCAGTTGTTAAGTGAGTTGCACCCCATTTTACCACCTTTGCCACAGCTGTTAAGTGACTCACTGCAATTATTAAGTGAATTGTGCAGTTGTTAAGCAACTCTGGCTTCACCCATTGACTTTGCTTGTCGGAAGCCGGCTGGGAAGGTTAGAAATGGGGATCACATGAGCCCAGGAATGTGTGGAAACTGGTCATAAGTCACTTTTTTCAGTGCTATTGTAACTTTGAAAGGTCGCTAAATGAACGATTGTAAGTTGAGGACTAACTGTACAGTTTTTCCAGTTGGAGTATCTGGTATTTCCAGCAGGGAAATCTCTTTTTTTAAATCTCTGGTCAGCTAAGAGGAGGAAAAGCAGGTATGTTGGGAATCAGGATCGTGTCCACTCTCCAAAAATATTTGCTTATATGTATAACTCACCTTTCTCTTGAGTATAGATAATAAGGAATTAATCAGCCATTAAAATACTGTTAGTGTAATGCAACACAATTTTGGGTTGTTCAGTAATACAAAATGGTGTTCGTGTTATCTGAAGTCTTAAAAGGAAAAGTGCCTTGTATGTTTTATGGCAAGTATATTTATATTTATCCCAGAATTCTCCAATAACACTTGTGACTGTATGACTGTAATTTTGTCACTTGTATCCTTACGATTTAGATTGACTGTTTTCTATGACTATCATTAAGTGTTGTACCTGATGATTCTTGACTCTTACGAATGTATCTTTTCTTTTATGTACACTCAGAGCATTTGCACCAAGACAAATTCCTTGTGTGTCCAATCACACTTGGCCAATAAAGAATTCTATTCTATTCTGTTCTATTCTATTCTACAGTGGGGACAGGGATGATTATCTTTTCCTTTCTCTATTGCTTGTTATGCACTACTGGTTTAAAGTTGCTTTAGACCCAGAAATCTACCTTTACTTAAATTACTTTTTGAGATGAGGCTTTCTCAACCAATTGACTTCAATTAGTTATTTAATTAGTAGCATATGTTGAAAACATCTCCATTTACTTTTGAGTTTAGAAGTAATTTAGTATAAGGCCAAAGGTCTCTAGCCTTATGTGCATGATACTTTATATCTGTATATATTAATCATCTATGTGTTTTGCATGTGTATAAATGTATTTAAATCATGTCTGCCACATAGGGCAAGAGAACTCTCTATCCAATTATCTATTTATAAATCAGAATTTCGTTAACCAGCTTACAAACAAACAAAAGACCATGCCAGCAAATTTTCTTGCTGGATTGTAATATTGATTTGTTTGCAACTAAAACTTACTTTAACTATAGCTTTTTACAATTGAATAATAATTTCCTTCCTCCCTTCCTTCCTCCCTTGCTCCCTTTTATATAGCCATACACTTGGGATACAATGCAAGGTGACATACATAATTATTAATGATCCCTATAAAAACAACTTAATGAATAATGATGATGATGATGATGTAGAAAAACACATGAAAACATGAAGACATTAAGTATTAGGTTTAGGGAGCAATTCCTGAACTCTTCCCTCTAGTTTAGAGCTCTGGAGAGAGAGGTCTTTTCCAAGGGCAGGTCTCTCTCTGTGTCTCTCTAATTACCAACATACACACAAAAAAGGTATTTTTCTGACCACACTCTCTTACTATGGAAAGCTGACCCTTGTAGTGTCAGATTGCTGTGGTTTTGGAGAATGAAGGTCCTTCATGCCGACAAATAAGATAATAAGGTTTTGGAAAGTTGCTCCAGAAGCAATCTAGCCCAAGGGCCAAAAAAGTTTTTCACTTCTGATTTTGAAGTTCTAATACTATAATTCACCTTGATTTGCCCAGAAAATGAAAGAACAAGCCAGAAGCTTCTCATCAGAAATCAAACAAATAGATCTGGATGTCAATCGCACTTTTCGAAACCACATCATGTTTCGGGACCGCTATGGAGTAAAGTAAGCTTCTCATATGTGGATCTCATTGGTTTATCTCTGATTGTTTCTGTTTGTTTTGCCTATTAGTTACAAACACATATGTATTTGTAGCAAATAAATGTTGGTTTATCTCATTTAATCTTTTGTGGCTGGTGAAACTTCTATCTGCGGAACAGAGAATTTTCTTGGTCAGTTTATGATATTAATTTCCTAATTTCATCAGAGAATGGAAGGCAGAAACTGGTAGATCACATAATCTTTTTACAGTGTTTGGAGTTAACATGTGATAAAACACAGAGTCATTCTCTTTGTTGATGGATTCTTAAGAGCACCAGACCTGTATCTGATGAACCTATCAATTGAGAAGGAAACATTGGTTCTTATTTTACTCTAAAATCAAAAGATATTTCTGAAAAGCTTTTAGTAGAGAACAGATTAACTGGTTTATAAAGCTAATGTTAAGACACCATCTTGATATTCTTGGTTGTTGTTTTTTTAATATAGACAACAAGCTTTGTTCCATGTCCTGTCAGCTTACTCTGTTTACAACACGGTAAGTAATTGAACATTACGAGAACCTGACATGTTTTTTATTTGACAATAAAGGTACAGTATACATTAGATTAAAATGGCAAAGCAGACTTTCAGAATGGCATTAAGCAGGTTAAAGGTATATAAAAAAGAATTTTATCTAAAACCAATATACACTTATGAAAGATTACACACACACACACACACTCACACTCATTCCCATCTTTGTCCCATCTTTGTGTCCATGAATCCATGAAGCTTGGGCTAAAAAAAAGAAAAGGAATCACTTTTGGTACAGACTTAATTCATGAAGACTAGATCTCTACAGATTGCAATCATCTGTATAACCTCTATTTATTTATGCAAAGGAATGCTATAATTGTTTCTAAATAGTTGTGACTTTAGTCAGATGAGGATGTTGGTTAAATTCTCTGCGTGGTCTTTCTTACTTCATTAAGTGGCAACCTCATGGTACAGGACTCCAATTTGTTATAGTCCCTTGTCTTATTTCTAGTCAAGGGGCACAGAAATTATAATGTCTTTAAATTACATAGAGGATTTGCTGCTTTGATGTACCAACAGAAATTACTTAATTAAATTAAATTAATGGAATTAATTATATTAATCCAGGTGATCCAAGAAATAGAAAATACACCTTTTCTATGTTTTTACCTAGATGGTGTTTCTTCCTTTATAAAAATTTACTGGCTTTTTTGAGCTTTTTCCTTATTTTATGTTGCAACGCAATGCCATGTTACATAATTTCAGTTCATGAAAATGTGAGAAGTGACAATAATTCTTTTTATGTCTTAGGGCTAATTTTATATCACAGACTCCCCAGGATCTATATATAGCATTGTTGTCCTCATGTAGCTGTCAAAATATGTACAAAATATTTCAGACTGAATTTCTGCATCAAGGGTGAATAATTTCACATTTAGCCTCCCAGATCATTTGAGTCCCATCTAGTTCTGCCCCTTACTGGAAAACAAACCCACCCAGGTGCTTTCCTGAAATCTTTTCCGAGCATTTTGAAGAAATCTCTCTCCAAAGTTTTCCTACCCTCTCATCCAATGAAAAAGGGAGCAGGTTTCAGGAGTTATAAAAACTTTCCAGGCCTTTGAAAATGTTTGTCTTCCCAAAAGGAGTGTTTTAAAGCAGGGCCTCCTACGATTCATCCAATTGTTACTTTGCCAGTAGTGAAGGTGCAGGAAGACAAGAGCCAGCTACTCTTTAACCCTTCTAACAAGGGCTAAAATGATTCTTTTCATATAACATCTGTAGATTCAGAGTTTAGAAAAGACAACACTTGGCCTCTTTCTTCTGACGCTGTGCAGTCCCCTGGATGAAACTGGAGGGACAGTGTTTTCTTTGACCACTTTTTTCCTGTATATATTTGGTTCTACCTACACTTTTAAGAGGTGCTTTGGACTGAAAATAAAGCAATAAAAATTTTCAGGGTTCTTTGAGCTTCCCAGAGAATTTGGGGGAGCCTCTTAAAGTAGCAATAAGTGTTATTCAAGAGAATGGCAAAGTGGAGCTGCTTGAACATCGACAAGCTGCTGGACAGAGAGTGAGGCAGGAAACACTTCTGGGTTGAAGAGGTCCAACCCAAAAGTGGAAGTGGAGAAATTTCTTTGTTACCCATTGCACTGAATGGCTGAAATGGAATCTTCCTAGCAGCTTTGGTTCAGATGCATTAAAATCTTACAAGAATTTGTAAGTGCATCATCATAACCATTGATTGACTTAACCAAGTCACCCAGCCCTGGTTCCTTAAAGGCCTCTTTCCTGTATCCTCTTCCAGGCAATGCCCATTGTCCATAGTGAACTTTGCCATCAAAATGAAATTTTTCTGTGAGTCAACAAATCATGCTTTTGTCTGAAAAAAAAAGTAAAATGCTAGGGTTATGTTGTGAACTTAGGGAAGTTTCATTTTGTGCTTGTATGTGCAATATACTCTACCCTGTAAATTGCTCATCTTGTGTAATCATCCAGGAAGTGAGTTACTGCCAGGGCATGAGTCAGATTGCAGCTATCTTGTTGATGTATTTGAATGAAGAGGATGCCTTTTGGGCCCTGGCACAACTGCTTACCAACCAGCGGCATGCAATGCATGGTAAGGTTTCAGTGGCAAACACCTTCATTTATTTGCTTGTTTCTTTATTGTATTTTGGGTTCAGTCTGGCTGAAAGTCTAGATTCTTCCTTTTTATGTGCTTCTTGTAGTCTTCTTATTCTTCATGTCTACTGTTGAGTTTAAGCATGATGTACAAATAAGCTCTTCTTGGAATCAGTTAACCTTAAAACATCAATGCTGTCTTGCAACTTCATAGTGCTGTAGTACCTACCAATCAGAGGCTGTGTTTTAAATACGAACCACCAAAATGGGGATAGGGATTCTGATGTACACAAAGCACCTTTTTATATATATACAAATATGTGTGCACATAAACTCCTGATCTTGTCCAAATGCAAAGCTCACAAACAAGGAAATATAAAAATGTATTTTCACAAACGTGTTAGAAGTCTTAGGAAATTCAAGTACTTATTATGCAATGAAGTAAGACGCTGTGCTGTATTTCTTTAACACATTGTTAGTACTTTTGTTTCCTTTTTTTTTGCTAAAGGATTTTTCATTCCTGGATTTCCAAAGTTGCAGAGATTCCAAGCTCACCACGAAGCAATCCTAAACAAGCTTTTCCCAAAGTTGAAGAAACACTTGGTAATGCTTTCTTTTGTCAAGGGAACAGCAGCAAAATCAGCATGTGTTGGTTTCTGCTCCTACATTACACACACACACACACACACACACACACACACACACACACACACACACACACACA